GCACATCTCACAGTACACTCCTGTGTTAATCTGACATCTGTTCAGCTGAGTGGCTCCAGAGGAGCCATTTATCTACCTCACCTTCTCTTCCAACTTCTCAGACACAGACGAGAGAGGGACACTCTGCAGCATTACTCATAACTCCTGGTTATTCTGTGCATGTGTCACGGTGGACGACCACTTCAGGCTGTGAATGAGGCTCTGTGTGAGAGCGCAGGCTGTCAGCGAGACAGGACAGAGTAATTGGATCAGCAGAAATTATGCAGAACGTATGGAGCTGCCAACTACTGCTGCAATGCCAGATGAATTTCTTTAGTCTTTTAAAGGCTCTGACCTGCAGCCAAAGTCTTTACACTGATGCATCTTCGTAAATGACTTTGTCTAATGTGGCACAGAAAGTTTCTGTTTGGAGAAAAGGAGCAGCAGGGCTGTGTACCGATTGTGTCAGGAGCTCTGGCTCAGCACACGACCCTGCTGTATTGACCATGTGCAGATATATTGTATAGAAAATGAGGAATAAAAAATTATAATATTGTTGTGACAGTGTCAACATTCTTAACTGGCAGTAGGGCTACATTTTATATTTAAAACTCGTGTGAATAGTTAGGATTTGTGCAGATAAGAGGTCGGTTGTGTGTCTCAAACATAATATTGTCACAAAAGCATTTTCTGGGGTAAATAGAATTCCTCTGTTACATGCTACATTAAAAGGGCTTTCAGATATGATGCAGAGGCATGTATGTGTGAGCTTGTGTATTTTTGTGTGTTTATTCTGTGCTGAAACAATTAGTCAGGCAGAAGCCCTGGTTGTGGTTCTGGCCAAAGTTGGGTCAAGGGTTTGAGGCCAAAGGTTAAGATATGCCAGGCTGTAGTCTATCAGGGAGTGGATGCAGGGCGGTCAGCAAGGACCAGACCACAGTGAAGCAGATGTCTGCAGCAGGTTTTCTCTGCTTCTGTTTCAGAGGTCGAGAGCAAACTGTCCTAAAATTGTGCACAATACTGGCGGCGTTTACACAACCACAGTTCCACGCCTAACTGACAGACTCGTGATGACGAACAAGTACGTTAGGTGCCAGCCAGTGAAACTGATGGATGCACTGTATTAGCACAATGCAGAGCCGGTCACGGTGTGTGTGTGTGTTTATGTGTGAATATGAGAAATGAGCTTCAGGTGTCACTTTTCCTCCCAGATTTAGTCATGTGAGTGTCGCCCTATTTTAAGAGCAGGATGATGAGCTGTCCGATGGCCAGTTTCTGCCCTTATTACAGAATCATCCCAAAAGTAGTAAGACTTAACTTTATTTGACAGGAATGTGACATGTGGTGAGGTTTGCAGCCTGGTCTCAAGCCCAGGATGTTGTGGTTAAACAGTCAGCTGAGGCACGACACCCAACTGGCTGGTTTCAAGTTGGAAAATGGTTGAATAGAGGTGGCAAAAATAGATTCAACTCAAATCCTTTAAAGATCAAAACAAAAGCTCTAAGTCATTCACTTGTTTTGATGTAATGTCATGTTCACATCACCTGACACTTCTTTCAACAGTCCCGTCAGCTCCAACTGCTTTCAGCTACTGTCTGTGCCTCGCTGTTAACTGAGACATCAAAAATATAAAACACCCGTTTCGTGTGCAGTGATTTGCATCCACATTTGTGTTTCCATGTTGCTTTAATAGAGACTCTGTCCACGGTGAAAAACCTGAAAACAGCTCCTCCTCCTGCTTTCACTAGGCGACCAACAACTCACAGTCAGTATCTAGTGAGGAGTGGGACAGACAGCTGACAGACCACATCATGAGTTCATGGTCTGGACAGCTGTGCTCTGTCACCATCTTCATCATCTTCATTTAGTGCTTACATCTTTCAGCACCGGTTACAGCTGCTGCCTAAGTCTCTTTGTTTCAGCTGCCACAGGTTGTTCCAGTTCAAATCTCAGCTCCTTCAGAAAATACAGATTTTCAAATTTAGATGCACTTTGTTGCGAGAGCGAAAAAGTTAAGGTGGGTTTCCATTAACTTGGATCAGTCATTTTGAAGGTAGCGGTGTTACTGGACAGCTCTCACACAGTAACCAGTGTGAGCAACATCATGTGTAACTGCTGAAAGATAAGGAAACGCATTTTCAGTTGGATGTGTCGAGGTACCTTTGCACTTTGTGTGACATTTTGGTTGTTACCATAAGGGGAATGGACTTGACCTAGTGGCTGATGTTAATGTTAAGTTTAGGTTAATGGAAATTTATTATATTTGGTCTTATCAAATCAGCATCATCAGCTCATTTGTGACAGATTCTCTTCTTGATTTATACATAATTACTGTATGAAAGAGACAAAGAAAAACCAGTGGTAACTTTTCATTTACTTTTAATCAACCTACACTGTACTTGTCAGAGTTTAATTAAAAGTATGAATCTTCCAATTTTTCCTCTGTGGAGATTTGAAATGATTGACACGGAATCTCCATCTCCCCCACCTCATATCATCTCTTCTAGCTGAGAGCAGAATTTGCTCGGTTGGCTCAGGAAGCTCTCGGCAGCAGTGGTCGGATGCGGAGGAAGTACAGAATAGATGAGTTTAGGTGGTAAAAATGGTTGGTTGGGTAGATTATGGATGGCAAGGAAGGTGGGCGACTCCCCTCACTTCCATCTTTAACTCACAGATCGACTCAGCTGCCCGTCTATTGGGAGCATTATCATTTTAACCAAGAATAACACTTCACCAGTTAGATGGCTGGCTGCTTGCCTGGCAGGGATTTCTGTCATTCCCAATGTAATTAGTGTGTAAGGGGAGCCAGGAGAGAGCCTGGCGCCAGACTCAGGCAAAATAATACAGAGGGAGGTGTAGGAGCACTGATGGATAATTTAACACGAATCTCCAGAAGCCAGCTACGCTTTACAGTACCTGAGTGCACTGAAGAGCGGATGTGAATGTCCCCAAGTGAAAAAGTTACAACAGACTGACAGATTTTCATAGCAATAAATCTTCCTCATTTATCCTTGTTGTAGAAAAAAACTTTATCTCTGATGATTAATGTGTGGCGCTCGGTGGGGAACATCGGAGAGTGAACATTTATTCTTCAGATTCATATGAAATGATGTGTTCTGATTTGCAGCGTGTTGTCCTTTTCTCTGTTTCCCCTGCAGATCATTTTCCGCAAGATCAGTGAGGTGAAGAAGGAGGAAGAGGAGCGGCAGCGAGCGAAGAATGAGGTGCAGCTTACCATCCCGCAGGACCATCCAGTCCGGAAGCTTTTCCAGAAGTTCAAGCAGCAAAAGGAGCTCCGCAACCAGGGAGCTGCAGCTGCCTCACAGCTGGACATAGAGAAGAACCAGCTGCAGGTGGAGCAGCACCTGCACCCCCACAGTGTGCAGCTGGGCCACTCCAGCCTGCAGCCTCCCCTGCCACTCAGCCTGCAGCTACCCCACTCCTCCATACAGAATGGGGCCCCGCCCAGTAGCAGCGTGCTGACCGTGTCTCAGGTCACGCCTATGCAGAGCTCGCTGGCATACAGCCATGCCGGCGGGCCCCCTGCCAAGCAAAACAACTGTGACATCATGGAGCTGCAGCCCAGTTCTGTTGCAGGGGGAGGTGAGCAGACAGTCAGGCTCAAAGTCAGCACCAGCCCTGCGCTGGGGAAGTCGGCCCCCAAGGCCAGCAGCTGGATGCGTCTGAAAAGCAGCATGGCCCCAGTTGAGGCCAGGAAGGAGGGGCTGAACAACAAAGCTGTTTCTGTGGAGATGCTCTCTCAGGAGGGTAAAGGGCAGGAAGCAGGGGGGTGTGGGGATGTAGAGAAGGGTGCGGTGTCCAGCAACAACCCCCTCCGTAAGACAGACTCCTGCGACAGCGGCATCACCAAGAGTGAGCTGCGGATCGATCGGGCGGGGGAGGCACGGACCCCTGTCGCGGTCACTCCCCTCCTCCACAGCCCTCTCCCCGGAGGAGCAGGGTCCCCTCACCCTTTCTGCTCCATCCCGGAGCAGGCTCTGCAAGCCGCCCTGCATGAGACCCGGCTGGAGCTCCGGGGGGACATCCAAACTCTGGGAGGCCGTCTGGGCGCCCTGGAGAGTCAGGTAGCCGAAATTATCAAACTGTTGTCGGACAAGAGGCAACCGTCCACGGGGGTGACATCTGCCTCCACCACACCCAGAACCAAAATACAACGTCAGGACATTTTCACCGTCTCCAGGCCTGTTTCTCCAGACTCAGAGAAGGATGAGGGGCTCTGAAGAGAGCCCATCCAGTGGTGTAGGGAGTGTACTGCAATAACAGTGGTCAGATGCCACATTACACTACTGTGATCACACTGATCATTTCAAGGGTATGCTCGTTTTGTGGGCATTCTGCTCTGTCAGATCCAGTTAAGCCACTGGTCTCAGTCCCCCGGGCTAAAAACTGGCTCCTTTAGCATTTGCACACTGACTTTTGCATCCAGGTCCTGTGTGTCCACACTGCTCAGTGACCTGGAACCCAGTCCTCTGATTGTATATACCTCTCTATGCATGTCCAGCTGGATTCTGGTCTGCCAAAGAAACAACAAATGAACGTCATTATTGCCTGTATATTATGCAGTTGACTGCATGCAAATTGAATTTAAAGAGACATTTTATTGAGCTATAGTGTACATATAAATATTTTTCACTGATAATTTCCTATGTGGACATTCAGGGTTTGCACACTGGTAGCACTCTTAACACTGAATAACAAAAAGGGTTTACCTGCAAAGGGATTGTGCATGGATTCTTTATACACAGAGAAGTTGAAGGGGATGGATTTTTTTTCTTTGCCTGTGAAATAGAAGTTTGATTCCTCGCTCTCTAGGAACACACATACCCAGATATGATGAAGCAACATCCCTTAGCACAGGGAGGGAATTTTATGGTGTGAAGTACATATTTTTTTATATTGGTTAGTGATTTTGCTTCTTACAATAATTTCTATTTTTGATTACGGAAATGTCTTTGGCCTCATTTTAATGTCTGGTAAACCCCAAATGGTTATTTTGTTAGAATCCTCCTTGTGTCTGTGCACCGCTCGGGTATGCCGCTAGACTTTTCTGAATGTTTGTTATTGTGCTGGTGAATGAAGGAAGTTTCTTTTGTTCCATTCCTCTGCATGAATCAGGGATGGCTGAATGCACTTTGAGTAAACTTGGGACGACAAGAAAGCAGTTTAGTTCACATAAAAGTCCACTCAGCACATGTAGTCCCACAGCCCCAGCACCACACACAGCAGTCTGAATCAGTCCGCTCGAAATCCCATTAACAACAGCTTCGCCACAAAAAGCTCAAGTAACAAAAAATTGAATGCTGTACTTTATATGATATCACTTTTCAAAATCTGCATGCAAAGGAGTAGCTTTATGCTCCAGAGTGCATGTATGCGTGTGTGTGTGTGTACAGGGTGACGGCATCTCTTGATGTGAACCCTTTTTTCTACATAAAAGGCAGATCGGCCAGTGCAGCAGCACTCATCACATGACACGCACACACGTGTGATGAGGCCGATGATGCATGAACAGCGGCCGTCGTGGAATATTTGTCTTTCCTGCTGGGATGGAATGGACAGGGCAGAAAATGAGCTGATGGAAGGGAAAAAAGCAGAGTTTTCAGGTGGTGTGACACACCTTCAGGTGGCCACATTAGCTCTCTGTCGACAGCTGGCTGGATTTCCAGACATTTCAGTGGAACTATATTCTTTCTGACTAGACACACACGGGTTGTCAGAGAAGAAAGAAATCAGTGGATATGACAACTTGTAGTTTTAAACCATGTAGTGTGTCAAAGAAAATGACCGATGCTGCGGAGAGACTAGCATATCAAGACGTTTTCTGCACTTTAACATGTTGTTGGAGTCCACACTTTATTTTATTGGTCAGGCTTGAGCATGCTGTCTGGCACATCTCACACCACTGCAGAAATACCATGTGGTACTTCACTGGTTTGGTGGTGTGTTTACTTACAGCTGGAGAAAGTTGCCAAAATCAAAGTCCACAACATTCTGACATTGCGTTCCCAGCATGGGTCAAATTTAAAATAAACATAAACTAAAACTAAATCCTAGATTTCCAATGAAAAGCTCAAAGTGTGAAGCTGAAGAGTTACTGGTAAGCCTGACACTACCCCTTATGATGAGCCTTTACATGTAAAATTGGTGACGTTCCCCTGAATTGATTTCTAATAAGGCGTATGTTTTTCTGACCCTGGCACAAAAAGATGGATCAGCATGAACTGATTGTAAAAAATTGGAGGGGGAAAAGTCGTACAGTGTTTACTTTTGGCCTAAATGTTTAATTTGAATGATTCCACACATGTGAAGGCAGTCAAGTGTATCTTATTAAAAAAAAAAACAACAACAACACAACATCTATATCATTGACAGTTTTCGATAAATTTTATATTCTGGCTCACAAAAGTTGCACCAAACCAGTTATTGCACTGAAATTTCAACATCTCTTTCCGGGCTCGGATGAAACTGTCATGTTAGATGTGTTGACTCATTAGCAGTTGCCTCTGTCTGCTGTCACCACGCTGGAAAATGATGCCGATTCATAACTTCGTCCTGCTAATTGGAATAAAACACTCGAGAAGATGAGTTCAGACACGAGGTTTCTGTCACTATGTGCTAATCAGGTTTAGCTTTCAGAGAGATAATTTAAGATGACTCATTTGAATGGGAGTTTCAATGTGCGCACAGGCTGGTTCTCTGTAGCAGCTTGCTTCCCATTCCCACTCTGTCACTGCTGACAGCTTCCCGGTGCAGCTCTTGTTCTCTCTGCTTGTGGCCACTGCGTAGATCCCCTGCATGAATCAGGGCTAGGTGCCTTGCTCGGGGGCACTTCAGCAGCAGTTTCAGGCAATTTGGCCTCTACGATTGTGTAGAAAGTGATGTATTGATGGACTTAATGACTGCCACTGTGCCTGTGTAGAGCAGCACATGTCAGAATGCTTCAAATCTCTCATATCGTACAGATGTGCTACTTGTATCAAACACTGTGCACAGCTATGCAATATTTGTAAAGGGGCAGACTGATGGAATTTTATTGTTCCATAGGATATAGTATGAGTGGGCGAGCCAGCAGTAGGGCAATTACTGCAAGTGCATCGTTCTGATGGGTTGTTTACATGTGTAGACATGACGACATATGTTTGTTACCTAAACTAACCAAATGGTGAGCAGCATAAAATCAGGTTTAAGGAAATGCGAGATTGTCAGTCATCGCTTTCATCCTCAGAAATAATAACCTTAAGTAGCATTGATCAAATACAAGTGCTTTATAAAGAACATAAAACCATTAACATAAACAAATAAGATTAAAAATGATGGACTTCATATTTAATGCTCCACTTGAACACAGTGACAGGACAGTTACTGGTGATGTGTCCTGCAGCTGTGGTTCAGATTCGTGATCCGCTAGTGGTGCACTGCGTTTCCTTTGTATGAATAAGTGGCCAGAACATACACATCATTACAGTGGTGAGAGAAGTGCGTTAACGGAGTGATCTGGTCTTCTGTTAAACTGGTCATACAACATGATCTTCATCTAAATCAGACGTACACAACATGCTTAAGCTAGTAACACACAATTAGAATCAAAAATGTCTTTCAAATTCATGTCAGTTTAGATGAGGGTTTTGACCAAGTGGGCACGACTCACTTTCCTTCCTGGTTGCTCACACAGACTTTGCTCTGAGACATGTTAAAAGCTGGAAACCAGGAAGCCACTCGCTGCTGCAGCTGGAGGAATAGAGGCTGCAGCAAAAAATTGCCAGAATGCATCAAATATAAGAGATGTGTGTATCTACAGTAGGTAGACCTGAGAAGACTCACTGAAATGGGTTTTTCCTTTTAAAGCTACATACTGAAGGTTCCTGGCTGATAGTGGCCTGACAGCACAGCTGTGTCTGATAGAGCTGAAGGTGGTGCTCCAGAACAACAAACACCACAAAGCACGATTAGAAATGACACAGACCTTTTCTGCAACTGTAAAACTTTTCAAACAAGGAAACTATCAAGTTAATTTTAGAATCTTTCAGAGATAGTGGAGGAATCCAGCTCTTGACGTGTCCTTAAATGGTATTTTATAATCTTAGTTTAAGCCTAGGAAAACCATGTGCGATGCAGCTGTGTACATGTATCTGAAGAACTGAGAGTGACGACAGATGTTTCTCCCCAGAACCTACTCCTTTCCACTGAGAAAGGTACATAGTATGTGCTGAAGAAATTAAAACTACCTTAAAATGACCTCAGTTGGATCAGCTTGTCAGCCTGTAGCGTGATGGTAAAATGGCCACTAATAGTTGCTCTGTGTGGAGAAATGTTGGTAGAATCAAGTATATTCAAACATTCTCAACCTTAGTTTAAGTGGAGTCTGGAGTGTACCATCGGAAGAACTTAGTACTTTCACAGTGTTCGTATAACCAAATAATACATGTATTAATTAAAAAAACTAATAGAAATCAAAGCATTAAAATTAAAACAAAACTCAAAGTAAAACACATTTAAAATATAAAATTTGCCAATAATGGTGTTTGTTGTCATTTTAAAATAATAATTGAATGTGAAGATAGAGGATTTTTTATTAATTATTGCCTTTCAGAATACATCTGAAGTCATTTTTAACATGCACACTTTTGGTTTTCTCTTTAATGTAAAGATGTGTAAACAGCAGGTCGAACTGCTGCTTTGTGGAGTCATAGGTTACAGAATAAATAAACCTAGCTATACCCGTCACTTGATTATACCTAAACAAAGTACTAGTCTATAGGTACTCCAGTGGTGCACTCCAGGCTCCATGCAGTGCTACATACAATGCTGTCACAGATGAGCCAGTTTTATAAGTTCGCCTTTCTCCTCCATCCCTGCCTTTAGAACGAGCTCCGAATAAAGTGGAAATCTAGTGCTGGGTAAGAATTGCTATAAAAAAAAAAGCCACAATTTTTAGATTTGCAATACAGTGATTCTATTTTCAAATATAACACTCCAGAAACTGCTCCCTCAGCAGTTAGCGGTGCAGGACAGGGGGCTCCTACGACGGGATCGACCCCGTGTTGAGTTTGAGAGTTGATGAACTCACCTAAAAACTTTTGCAAGTTGTCAGGTTGTGTGAGGGGACACGGGCAACAGAGAGCACATCCTCTTCTTTATTCACTAACAAGAGGATGAAGGAGATCTGAGCCCTGTGCATGCTTACACACACACACACACACACACACACACACACAGACACACACAGACACACACAGACAGACCTTTCAGCACAGGTTTTTGGCTTTGCCGCTTGAATGTACAACAGTCCTCCCAACCAGCGTCCCCACTGGATCTCCCAGCCTTCTCACTGGGAGTGATGTTTTTTTAAGAGGGTTTCTTTCTCCTCCTCTTTCTTTCTTTTTGTCTCTCTGTCATAACCTTGAAACCATAGGAGGTCCTCTTCTGTCCCATCTCTCTTTGAAAAACCTCTCCTCTCTGTGCATCTCATTCGTCCTCCTCTGGGGCCTCCTCTCTATCCTCCGCCTTAACCCCTCTGATCCTGCTGTCCCTCTGTCATCTCCCCTCTCTTTGATCTCCTCTCTTGTAACTCCACCATGTGCTCCTCAGCATGCCGATGATGCTCAGTCTGTCTGCGTCTTCCCGACTGACTGACACCACGAATCCAGCTCTCTGGGGATGCAGCGGGCACAACCATTTAATAAAATGATCCTTTGGCTTGATTCGATTCTGGATATAACAGTGAGGATGACACTAAAAGAAATGGAAGTCATTCCCTGCATACGATAGAATTTTCTATTGTTTCACTTACTGTAGCCTACCTCAGAAAATTGACACAACCTGCAGAATTTTCTCACCAGGATTAATTTTTCATCAATGCCAACTTTAGCTCAGACTTGGTTGTGAAACTTTGCACAATTTAAAATAAATGGGGCCCTGTAGGAAACACTTTTCTCCATTTTCTGCTGGAATGTTACCAGTTCCTGTGGTTTTTGTTAAAACAGTGGTATGGATCAGCACTGAAACCCCCACACTGACTCATGTATTGATTTACAGTTGCACCCCTAAACTGTAGTGTCAGAGTAATAAACAGCTGTCTGGGATACTCTATCTGGAGTTCTGTGTCTGTTTCCACATCTCTAAACAGCATTTCTTCTAAACAGCTTCCTCTGCTCTGTCTCTGAACAGAGCATTAAATCTCTACCTAATGCCTTTTCAGCCTAGAGGGTCCAATGAGGCTCGAAACAAACTGACACCAAGCTTCTTCCAACTGCTCTTTGCTCCTACCATCACGTCCTGTTTCCTAGCCTGTTTGGTACAAACTTTATAAAATTAAGCTGCAGCTGGCATTAGCTAAGTAACAAGTAGGTAGAACGCTCTGTGATACAGAGCACCAACGTTACACAAGGTTGGATTACATATTAATTCAAAGGAAAGGTGAAATCATGACCATGCTAGGTCACTAATGTTACCAAAACAAACCCATGAATGTGTCTGGTTGCTAAATGCCTCACAAAGGTATATGAGCGGTAAAGAAACCCAAAGTGTTTTATCTGAAATCAATCAATTTGATTTATTCTAAGCCCCTGGTTATATATCTTTATTTTTTTAAATTTTATTTTAATTTCTACTTATTTATCTGTTTGTTCTGTTCAGATATTAATCTGTGCAGTATCTGTGTATGATTTGTTGCTTAGTCCCCTGAGAGTTTTATAAACGGCTTTCGCTGCTTTTTATGTCTGTAAATATAATGTTTATAAAAAGTTGTAATCAATTAAATCTGCCATTCGAGCCATGGCTCCTCCCCCTGTGCCATTTTGGGCCAATGAAAAGTATGAAAGGCTGTGACAAGTCCCGCCTCCGTTGCTATGGTGCTGTCATTCTGCCGCCCAGCCTGAACTGTTAGCCAGCTAGCCAGCTAAACCTGTGGGTTTCAAGTGACATTTTGGTCCAAATCGGTTAAACCAAGAAAATATAGTAATAGCTATAATGACTCTGACTTTTACAGGCGACGGGACATGACATATATCTTCAGCTGCTATCAAACTAACCTATGAAGCTAACGCAATGCAGCACATGAGTAACTTCTGCAAGGGGACAAGAGCGAGGAACACGCCCGCCAGAAAACGTGGTAAACACCTTGTAACTTTAACTTTCTGCGTGTGCACATGTGTAGCAGAAGTCATCAGAATGCGGTATAGACAGTAACGCTTCTGCATTTAATGTAGAATTATAGACTTAACTGAAAGTGAAACGATTGACTTTAGTCACGTATTTATGAACTTTAATAACTGGCGTCTTTCTGCAGGTTCTGGTTCTTATTAAACTAAGTGCTCCGTTAAAACCAATATAACCTCATTGTAACGTTAAATTTAGAAAACCGCAGTCTGGTACTTTTCATCCTGCCCTGCAGCTTAACCCTATTTGGCACCTCTAGTTATCCTTCCTTTTCCTGCTTCAGTCTGACTTGTCCTATTTCAGCCTTCCTGACCAGAATTCATAAGACACGCCCCAGGCTGCTGCTAAGAGGATCAGTGTAATATGAAATCATCTTTACTCCCAGTTTAACACAGAATCTCGTTAAGGTGCTTGGAGGAGCTAGAGGTGTTGTGACTTGGTAGCATTTCAGCATTTAAAAAAGGGCTGATGCCAGTTTCTTCTCAGTATTTTTCTGACAGTCTTTCCATCTATTAATCTGTCCAACTAGTCTCGTCAGGCATTTCTTTGACATTAGGGCCCATTTGTGATGTGAGAGGCCCAGGGTCTCCTCGGCCAATTACCAGCAGACAGTAGAATTATCACAGGTACTTTCCTGTGGATGGTGAGTGCTGACTGCGAGCCAAAAGAAACACAAAGGAGAAATTAGCCTGTCAAGACTGTGCTGCAGCTCCAGCCGACCTACCTACCGTTCTGCCTGGACACATGAAGCCTCTGACGTCTCCAAATGTTAAAGCTGAGCCTCATTTTGGTGCCAGGAAGCAGCACATGCTTATCCCCTTTAGCATCTCTTCACTGCTCCTGAAATAGAGGAGGAGATGCGCTGTTTTACCCCAACTGACACCCGTCAGCCTGGGATGTGCCAGCAGGTTCTCTGGGAAAAGAGTTGTAATTGCTGCTGGTGAAAAGGGAGAGTGTGAAAGGCTCTGAGTTACTGCAGTTTGAAGCTCAATTACTCCAGAATTGTTTCTTTATTGTGTCAATCATGATGTGTGGGTATTACTATTTTAGTTTCTCTTTGTGTGAATCAGCAGCTTTGGAGGCAGTTTCACTCAGCCTTATTATAACTGCTTTTGAAGCCAAAACATTGACACAGCTTTAAAATATATGCTATATTTTGGGAAGAATATTTGAGTAAAATTCATCTACAAATATGAGAATTTGATGTGAAAACTGTTTCTTGCAATTTGTACTTGATTTAAAAAATGTCAGCAGTCTGATGGAGAGGTCACCTCTGAGTGAATCAGCTTCACCCTTTTGTTGTTCTCAGTGCAGATCCAGCTGGATGACTCATTTAATATCAGTGATTAGGGGAGAATAGATCTTTGAGATTGTGTGACACATGGTGAAGCTGCCAGAATGTGGAGAATGAGATGTGGCAATATAGGAAGGACTAAGAACTCAGAGGTGATGATGAGATTTAGAATGAACGGCACCAGTTTTACCAGTTTCTTTTTGAAATCTGCTTAAAAAGATTTGGGTTCATTCTGGTGTTCGGTTTACTGTACAGTGTATCAAGTGAAAATGAAGTAAACAGTATTAACAGTCATTCTACCTGCAAGTGTATTTTCTCTTCAAGGACAGTGGAGGTGAGATCCAATGAAGCAAAAAGAAACTGACAAGGAAGTCTGTGTAATTCTTTATCGATCCAGCTCCCATGAGAGGAAATTTGAAGTAGGTTCTCCTGGGCAGACAAATTCAAGAAAGAGCTGCTTGGCACAACACACAGCCTGCATTTATTAGATTATTTTAGTTAGTCTGTAGGATAATCACCTTTATTTGGCCAAGTATGTTTCCATTACAGAACCGAGGCAGCCATCTGTGGCGCCAACTCACACCAATGGGGGCAACTTGGGGGTTCAGTGTCCTGCCCAAAGACACGTTGACATGTGGACCGCAGGAACTGAGATTCGAACCATTGATCCTCCGGTTGGGAGACGACTGCTCTACCCACTGAACCACAGTCACCCCCGTGAAGATTAATGTGATCTGGTTGATTAAAACCAGATCTTAATTCTGGGTCAACTCTCAAAGCTTTTTTTTCTATTATCTGACAGTTGACAGTTTATACATCACACACAAAATCTTCGTACCTTCTCATTTGATCATAACAGTAGAAGCAATACAAACAGTCCCTGGGTCAGGTCAGGGCAGGGGCGCAGCAGGATTTTTCCTGAATACGACACGCCAGCAGTCGATCACAGTGAAGGTGAGCTCATGCTTTCCACATCAAAATGAGTTAAAGAATTGTACAAAGATTTCTTGGTTTAATAATTTTTTAAAAAGTCATTGTGGTGTTGTTGCTGACTTTCAGCAGCAAATCAGCGTAATCAAAATCACAGCATCCGGAGAAACCCTCAGAGAGGAAGGTCGGCCACCAGAACATGAGGTAATAGCTGTGTAATACTTGTTATTGTTCTGATGCTGCAGCCATAAATACATCATAGCTTCTCACATCACAAATGCAAAACAAAACAAGAAGTCTGTTTGATGTTGTCCCATTTTAACAGACCCAAACTGGAACAATCTCTTTGTCTTTTATGGAGTAAAAAATACCCAGCGTGTTCCAAACTCACTGGTTTACTCTGAAGCAGCTGTCCCTCTCGGATCTAAAGTTCTCTGACAGACTAAAAGTTTTACATAAGAGCTGATGTACTGTACAAAACGTCACTGATCCCTGGGGGCAGCTGGGTTATTGCCACAGCAGAGACTGAAGAACAGAGAGAAACTGTAACAATAAAGGTTCAGTTAGATTTAAGACTTACAGTGTTAGGACATTATAACATTTTTGTGGCCAAGATGAATGTCTGTTTTTTTTTAAAATTCCGGTTCCTATTGTAATTATGGCGATTTGAATTTCCTCCTTTAAATAACTGCATGTCTCACTGGTTTGAGTCCAGAAGACTTTTCTTTATGACACTGATGATCAGACTTAATCCTTTGTACAGGTCGTGTGTGCATGGTTTTGAATCTGTGTGCACGTGTGACAAAGCAGGTTTGTGTGTGCAGTCGTGACTGTTGTTCCTACGTGTGATGGTACTGTAATTCTGAATACGATGCCTGCATGTGTTTTGGCTCCGTTTCAGGGCATTTGTCTGATTACAGTGGATTACATCATCAAGAGGAGGTGAGAGTGGCACAGACTGGGGGGATATTGAGGATCTAAGGGCGGGGTACGAGAGCTCACCTCACTGGGCCATCACCACCACACCATGGGCATGCTCGACCGCTGCGCAAGTAAGTATGTTTATATGCAAAAAGCACTATGAAGTTCCTTGCTGCTAAAACGTGCTGTCGTTTAAATAACCTGTGATAGCTGTTTCTGGACAAGCAGTAATTTGCAAAGTACTTAGTGTAACGTCTTCACCGATTGCCAACAAGACTCCAGGAAGTCACTACACCCAGAAGTGGTTCCAGCATCTGATGGCTCGTAAAAGTACTAACTGCAACTTTTCTACTTGTGTACAGGTAAATGTTTCATAACTTGTTAATCACTAAGAGGTATTGGTGAGTGTATTTGGAAAATGGAGACAGGGTAGCCATATGCTATGCTAGGCTAATCTTTTTTTGTATAATAATATCACAGATTTTTAATAGTGTAAAAGAAAAAACAAAGGCCTTGTGGGAAATATCAGCTGCTTCTCCTCTCAGCTGGCTGGAGGGACGTGGTGTGTGACTGACAGCAGCTGGCAGACTGCCACAGTGTTGCACCCTAGGGTGCAAGACACAAAGTAAACAAACTTGCATTGTAGGTCATAGGCAGACAGTGTGTTGTTAGTGGCACTGAGGAGCATGGAGGACCCCAACATCTAACTGGATTGATTAATGTGCAGCAACTGAGCAGCTAATTAACTATAACCTGCAAAGTGACATTAGCAGTGTTGTTTTTCCCCACAATGTTTGGTTTACAAGGCAGATAACAGGGAAACTTTAGCGGGAAAGCTAATGTGGGTTGTTGTATGACTTTGTGGCTCTTGCTGTGTGGATGCTTCCCTGGCTCTGGTTGTTGTGCTTTCTTTTGTCCCACTCTGTGCGGAAGATGCCACCTTTTCACTCTGGCAGGCGCTGGTTCAGACTTTTAGCCTCCCAGAGCTCCTCCATGGCTGTTTGACATGACTACTGGCAGCTGGAAAAACCCTTCTTCTAACCTTGGCTAGGCGGCAGGAGGGACTGATTTACAGACCGTACTTTGACAACACAGGATGGAGAAGCTGGAATAACAACAGAAGGGACAAACTAGACCTTACGTATGATATGATAAACAGGTTTTCACTGTATTCCAGGGGGTTAGTGCTGCTGAGAGACATCACTCTCATAAGAATACACATTAGCAAAGTGTTCTTATTGCAGTTTCACTGTGTGTTGACATAAAGAACCGTGTTTCTAATATTATTTCTATGTGTGTCTATTTCTCTCTTCTCCTTGCCATCTGTTCCTGTGGTTGCTGCATCATTATCATGTCGCAGACACTTTCACATTCTCTCGGTTGGTTGCCTTTAATTTGGTCCACTGTTGCACCGCTAGAGGACAGCACCAGCTTCAGCCCCTGAATTGTGAATATGAGGTCTTTGTCTGTCTCTCTAGATAAAAATAGATTTCAGGCTGACTGGCGTTGTGTAATGCCTAACACAGTGGTACAGTGGCAGCAGTGTGACCTCCCTGTGGTGATGTGGCATTATGGGTTTATCTCCTGCACAGGAGGTGGGCGTGCTGTGACCCCACCGCCATCCATCATGGTTGTATTATATGACAGTGGTATTTGAGGCGGATAGGCTGACAGGCTGTATTTGTAGGCGATCGGTTCCAAAGCTGCAAAGGGCATGGTGGAAAAACTATACAAAATGCTCATAGTGATATATTGGAAACTTTTTTTTGTGCATCTGATTGATTCAATTTCTCTACTGCACATTTAGTTTAATAAATTTGAGACTGTGTGTTCCTCCATTGTAGCTACTCTGATACTTTTCTTGTCTGATGCTCTTCTTTTTCTTGTAAGCACAGACCGTTATGCTTTATATGTAGAATGAATGTATGGTAAATCTGCATCTGTAGCTCTCAGGTAGATTCAATATGTAAAAAGTAGTTGATCTTCCTTGCAATGTAACAAAGTAAAAGGATTCCTGAAGTGGGAATACAGAAGGATTTCCAAATGTGCTTTCTTATTTATTTAAAACAAACAAGGAAACCAGTAAATTATTGCTTCACATGATTCTTTTTGTTTCTGGGGAAATGCTGTGTGCAGATTTTTCTGCCAGTGGACGCAAGTTCATCAACCAGCCTTCGCCCACACGTCTCCATCATATTACATGTCCATAGCAGATAAGGTGATAAGGATTTCAGGCATCCCTAGAGGAATCTGATGTTCGTTGTCCTCACAGATCCTCTTCCATCGCCACGATCCTGTTGGAGCATCTGTATAATTCATAACCTCAGCTGGTGCCTGTCAGGCAGCGGAGGGGAAGTTGCCTCTAAAGTTTGTAAAATCGTCTCACTTGCCCGTAACCCTAGTCTGCAGCTTATTAGTGAGAGGTGGTGGGAAAGTGACCCCGTTTCAGTGAACTAAACATTCAAACCTGGACCAGACAGTAAATGACTGCAGATATGATATGGAGCCATCTACACTTCGTCAGTATCAGAATCACTTTGTAGTAACATGAGCACGTTAGAGCGAAGGTGCCAAAGCTCACAGCAGTACCACACTGGCTGTTTCATGCTGCTTGGACTTTATGATCTGCTGTTGTTTCTCCTTTAACTGAGGTGTCATGCATCTAAGCCTTTTTGACCTCGGATCATCAGGTTTTCACCTGTTGATAGGTAACTGATAGTGTCTGCTTTAGTGAACCTACCACACGGCTTCCTTTTAAGCTTAGTTCGCAGTGCTTCCTGTCGTAAACTGGTAGTGTATACCCACGCTGCCTGTAAACCTCAGCCTGCCCACTGACTTTTTAGCCAGGGTAGTTGACTTATTCTATTGATATTTTCACTGAAAGCTGCAGTAACAGATCTGACTCCACAGTAAGCTGATAACACGCTGCCCTGACATGTTATCTGCTAATGAACCTATGTTAGCAAACAGTTGCCAATGAATTCACCGCTCCAGCAGACAAATCACAACATTAACATTCACTCAGAGTCATTTTTATGTTCACCCGATAAGAATAGAAGTCTGATATTCACTCTCCTTTTCACTTTGGCATGGTTTTGGTCTCTTTAGCTGCTGCATGTTTTACTTATCCAGAGTAGTTAGATTAAAATACCTGGGTTGATGAGAATGCCCAAACTGAATTATACTGTAAATGTGTGTTGTCACAGCATGGGGGTGGAAAGTTGAACATTTTGTGGCACATTTCTTAGAGTGACTCGGTGATATAGCTCAACAACCTCTTTGACCCCCAGGTGACCCCTTTAAAAATGATAAAGAGAACACTGCTCATTTCACCCTGAATAAAACGTCTCTGATCTGGGTCACTGCAGCTCCCCATGAGCTCCCAGTGGTGGTCGACCTCAGGTTAGGAGGTTTCGTTTATGGTTTCACTAAGAACCTGCTCGTCGTCCTCCCTCTTTCCTGCCAGGAGCGGTTGCAGCCCCCTGACCCCTCCTGCAGCCGAAGGAGGAAATGTTAATGTCAGGATTGATTAGGACAGCAGGGGCTGTTGGAGCACCTCCTGTTAGGGTTGTTGAAGATGACAGTGGTCTCAGGAGAGCCAGCAGCCCAGACACCTAACCTTTCCTCTGGCTTTTCTTTTAACTTCTCCATATTCTCTCTTCTGCTGTTTGTCTTTGCGTTTTCCCCTTTTTATTTCTGTTCTCGTACAAAGAAAATGGCTGCAAAGAATTCCCTTTGTGCCACATTACACCTGCCATCATCGTCATCCCCTGTACATGGTGGAGGAGAGTCCAGCAACATAAGCTATTTATTTTGCTTGGCTTTTGGTATGGGTGCTATAATGATTAGCACTGTCACCTCACATCAAGAAAGCTCCGGGTTCGAACCTTGTGGTCAAGGCGGCCCTTCTGTTTGCCTGTTCCCTCTGTGCCTTTGTGGGATTTTTCCAGCTTCCTCCCCCAGTCCAAAGACAGGCAGGTTAATCTTACTGGCGGCTCTAAAATTGCCTGTATGTTGTCTTTTCTTTTTTCCCCACTGTTCCTCTAAACATTTTATAGTATTGTTGTCAGTCAGTTACAGTATATTATACAGCAAATAAGGTTCATTATTCCAATTTTTTCATGTTTTCATATAAAAATTCTGGTGCTATTTAAGAATCAGATCAAGCAGATGAGCCATTATTTTTTTATGTCGTCACTTATCCAGAAGCCGTCTTGACACCTGTCACTGAGAGCAAGTTGTGTCCTCTTGTTATGAGGACAGCTCAGAACATGGAGAGAAAACACAGATATCCTGATCAGAACATGGAGAGAAAACACAGATATCCTGATCATTGTGTGACAAAGGTTACCAGGTTGATTATACTCTATTATAGACTCAAAATAAATACAGATAGATTCTCAGTTATTCTTCTTTTTTAATTTGAAAAGTAAAGACAGAAACTAGTCAGTCTTGATGGCAGAGTACATTTCAGATGAAATCCAACTTTTAAAGCAGTGTGAACAGTTTCTGCCTGTTCAGCCTAGTGTCACACAGATGTTAAACATTCAGTGGTGCTGGTCAGACAGACTCCACAGTCACATCTCAGGGCCACAGGGTAGGTGTACGTTGGGTCGATGTTCCGCTCACAGCCGGGCAGCTTCACAGTGACCAGGCGGGTCTTGTTGTAGGTGCAAACACGCTGGTAGGACTCAGTGTAAGGAGGGTCCAGGACGGGTTTCTGGAAAACAAACACAGAGATGATCAGTATAGACCTAATAATACTGTCAAAGGTTGCCCAGACTGTTTGAAGCTTCAGCTCTTGGGCTTTGTGATATTGGCTTGTTAGCTCTAGTTAGCTAACTGTCGCTGGCAGCGTTTTGCACATGCAGCCTTTAATTCTGGCACTACTAACATGTTTAATTCAATTCCTACCTTGTAAAACACCTACAGTGCCTTTTAAAAATGTATTTGTTATACTTTTGCTCTTTTAGTGACTTTTCGGTGTCACCACCACCAAATACTGGGAAAAATGTATTTGTCTTGTAGCACACATCTCAGTCCTGGTGTGTGCTGGTAGGATGCAAATACAAACGACACATGGACCTACTCCACAAAACATTCCTAAAGTGGCTCTGCTGTTTTCTGATCTCCCCACGACAGAGCAGATAAAAAGATGAGCTTCCTTCCTGAGGGGATCCAAAGGGCATCACAGAACGGACCCCAGGCCTCATACATGCACACCAGCCTTACTGCAATAATAAAGCAGAGAGAATCATGAGGCATCTAATGCCTCTTGTCACTGTGTACAATGTACCAGATGAAACTTGAGATTTCACAGCATTTTTTGTAATCTGTATCTGGCGACTTATGAAATCCAGTTGCCTCTTTTATGCACTTGAGGCATTGTCAAGGAAACTGCTGCCGTCACTTCAGTCTCTGGATTCCACGCTGCTTTCCATTCTTGCAGAACGTTAACTCAGTTTCTGGGTGCGCTCCTCCAAACGCCTTCGGTCTTTAGGATTTACACTTCAGACAGCCTCACATTACTATGTGGAGATGATTAGATCTTGGTAGGGTAATACAAACACAGAATATACATGTTTCTTAGGCTTCTCATATGTACAGTATCTCTTTCCACCAGTTCACCCAGTGTGTCTGTGTAGCAGCTGAATCCCTGCCCACACTCACAGCCAGCCTTACACTGACCTTCCTCTGGAGGGAGGAAAGCAAAAACAAACTTTTTTTGTGTCACTTTTCCGGTTTGGGCGAGAGCAGACGTCTTTACTGCTCCTCTTGTTTGTTCTACGATTTTTCACATCTTCTACATTGTCAAGTCTTTGAACAAATTCTACAACTATTAAAATGCCTCCAAGAGGGAAAAGAGCTAATAAACCAGAAGCGAACGAGGATGTTGAGGCTGAAGAAGATTCTATTTCAGCGGCGCAAGTAGCTGAGATGTTGAATCAGCAGAAGCTGATGTACACCGCGCTTATGTGCCAACAGCAAGAAAGCTTCCAAGGCTTTGTGAAACTACTTATGGAGACAAATAACAAGAGACTTGACGACATGACCAAAGAAATACAGGAGATAAAAACGAGTTTGCAGTTTAGCCAGCGAGATGTGGACGCGATTAAAGCGGCCGTGGGGGTGCAGGAAAAAGTTGCCGATGACACTAGGCAGGACGTCTACAAAACCTGTGAGAGTCTAATAACTATTACGTATAAAATGGAGCAATTGGAAGCACAGTCCAAGCAAAAAAACCTGATCTTCGAGGGAATCAAGGAGTCAGCTGGAGAAAGCTGGACGGAAGCGGAGTGTAAGGTGAAGGAGATTTTAAAGGACAAACTGCAAATTCATCAAGATATAGAGATGGAACGGGTTTACAGAGTCAGGAAACTTTCTGATCGGGGACCAAGGGCGGTGATGGTAAAGTTGATGAAACAGAAAGATAAGACAAACATTCTGCAGCAAGCAAAGAAGCTGAAGGGAACCAATATTTAAATCAACGAAGATTACCCCGAGTCTGTGAGGAAGAGAAGAAGAGAGTTGATGCCGATGTTAAGAGCGGCTAGGGAGAGAGGAGAAATCGCGTTTCTGCGATACGACAAACTGGTGACCCGACCTCGGAACCAGAATCCTGGACCCATGACCAGCACGCCGAGACAAGGAGAGTATGAAGGGGCCGCTGGACCCTCAGCGGTCTGAGGAAACATGCAGGTATATTGATATCTGTGATGGCAGATGAGCTTTGGAACCAACAACAACAAGCATGACCCAGGGACGAAAGGAGGCAAGTGATTTGTCACAGAAGTTAATAGTTTTTGAGGGACTGGATCTGGAACTGAACACATTCGGAGACACTGAAATTCATTATCATATGTATTTTCAACCCATTTAGTTGGCTTTGACCCTGAAAAAAACTTTTTCAAGAACTTTGAAAATAACTGCAAGTATTACACGGATGAGCAGTTTAACAGCAATGTCAAGACTGAAAACAAATTAACATTAATTCACTTTAATAGCAGAAGTTTATATGTGGAGTGCCTCAAGGTTCAGTTTTGGGACCTAAATTATTCATACTATACATTAACAATATGTGCAAGGTTTCGGATTTAGTGAAAGTGGTCTTATTTGCTGATGACACTACCATATGGGCATCCAGGGATAACCTACAGCAACTCTCGGGACAGGTTTCACAGGAACTTGAGAAGATAAAGAAATGGTGTGATAGTAATATTCTATCTCTGAATATGGATAAAACTAAATTTATGGTATTTGGGAATCGTAGACTAGATAACGAACTGCAAGTGAAAATAGGGGGAGCTAATATAGAAGAAGTATATGAAATTAAATTTCTAGGTGTCATAGTTGATGATAAATTCACCTGGAAATCTCATATCAGATATATTCAGCATAAAATAGCAAAAAAACATATCGATATTGGCAAGGGT